CAGTACGTCAGGCATGGGGCTCGTGCTTGGAGGGAGACGCTCAGTTGTTCTCACTGGGCACTCAGACGCTTCTTGGGTTGACGACCAGGCTACTCAGCGGTCGTCACAGGGTTACACCTTCAGCCTTGGCTCTGGTTCAGTTTCTTGGCGTTCTACTCGCTCGTCTTCAGTTCTCAGCTCCAGTTGTGAGGCTGAGATCTACGCCACAGCCATGGCTGCACAGGAGCTACTCTGGCTGACCTACCTGCTGACTGACTTGGGAGAGCGGCCTAGTTCTCCTCCAGTGCTGTACGTCGACAACAAGGCTGCCATTGCCTTGTGTGAGGAGCACAGACTGGAGCACAGAACGAAGCACATCGCTCTCCGTTACTTCCTGGCTCGAGAGCTGCAGCAGCGCGGTCAGCTTCGTTTGCGTTACGTGGCCACTCAGGCCAACACCGCTGATATATTCACCAAGGCACTTTAGCCTGGTGATCATTAGCGCTTTTGCACTATGCTGGGGCTTGTGCCCACTTTTCCTCACTTGCTGTAGGCTTTGTTTGTACCGTGATCTATATATATACCTGCATGCTTGCTCTAGTAGGTAGAGATCACTGTGCTGTTGTTGTTACATATATATCTCTGCATGTGAACTGGCCTTGTGGCCTTTGCTTGTGCTCAGACTGCGTGGTGACGTTGTGATCCACCCTGAGCTGTGTTTTGTTTCTTCTCTTGACTGGTCTTGTGACCGTTGCTTGCCCTGGCTATCCCCCATTTCGCCTATGGGGGTGTGTCAAATTATATATATATACCTGTTTAGGTTAGCTAGGCTGTATGGGGGTTAGCACTAGGGGGTACACAAAGTTCCTCGACACCCTAGTCTTGTACCCACCTTGACCTAATTCAATTACCTTTTGCCTAGGTATCTTAACATTCATAAGCAGCAGCAAGTCTGTATAAGCCTATATATTCACCAAACTGCTACATCACTGCCAGAACGGAACCTCGTTCCATAACCGCTGAACCGCTCTGAAGCTCCAGATTCCAGCAGCAGCAGTACATCCAACCCCTCTGCTCCCCCAATCCCTTGAACCACGGTGTAGGCTCATACCAGGCCCTACATCACTGCCAGAACTGAATTTCATTCCATAACTTCTTGAACCGCTCCGTTGCTGCAGCTTCCAGCAGCAGCAGCACGTCTAGTCCCTCCGCTCCCCCAATCCCTTCCATGACCACCACCATGCCATCACAACATGGGAGCTTCGGTACCCCCACATACCATGGACGGGCGCCAAAGTCCGCATCATACATGCCGTGATTCACCCATGACGTCAGCATGATGTCATCCCCGAAGAAAAAATCCGTCCCGACTCGCACATAGGAGATGTCTTGTTGCTCTGTGAGGAATTCTATGGCGTCCCGCATGTAGGTATCGGAGCAGCTTATAATGGATCGCCGGATTCTCTGCGCGACGAGGCTCAGTGTAGCAGCTGTTGTCTCACTAAGTTCAGAAGCGGAATAGCAAGACAAGGCGTTGAAAATCACATTTCCGCAATAGCCTTCGGGCAGAGGAGGGATTAATCTCCTCCGGCCGTTGACGCCAGTGGTGAAACGGACGTCTTTACTATGGCCTCTGGCTTGCGAGATTAGGAGGAGCATGAGTGCTGACACGGAATCAATAGTGCTGACGTAGGTGGGTCCTTGCAGGTCGTAATCCGTCAAATGGAGTTCTGATGTGGGATCCGACGGCCCTGATGCGATGGAGCCGTTTAACGGCCCAGATGCAACGGATATGAGTGTTTTGAGCTGGTTGGGGGAGAGGTGGAAGATGGAATGCGAGGTTGCAGGAAACACAGGCGCTGCTGCTACAGCTGGCACTGCTGCTGCTGCTGGTGCCTCTGCTTCTCCTGCTGCTGCTGCTGTTGCTGTTTTTGAAACTGTTGTTGTTGCTAATTGTACTGCTTCTGATGCTGCTGCTGATGCTTCTTCTTCTGATGCCGCTGTTTCTGTCGCTGCTGGTTTTAATGTTACTGCTTCTGCTGCTGTCGCTGCTTGTGCAGGTTTTGGGAAAGATTCCAAAACCCTGAACTCAGGATGAGGCAGCTGAGACCCAACTCCCTTCCCAAACAGCAGCGACCTATTATGACAAATCACATGCCGCTGCTGCTCCGTACCACTCCTCACCCCTCTGTACCGCATACCCCACATCTTCACGAATGTAAACATTCCCTCGCCGTCCACTAGGCAGTGACTGATATTCACTCCGATCGCCATCCCGCCATCCGCTAGAATAGTAGCCTTGATGGAGATTAACTCAGTCGGATCGCGCTCCGGCATTAGAGACATTGGGAGGGAAGCCATGGCCTCGGTGGTTGTGAGAGGGACGAACGGATTTCCTGGTTCGGACTCTGATGGAAATGATTTTGGAGCTCGAGTGAATCTGATTGCTTTCGCGCCAGCAGCGAGGCATTCCCTCGTTTGTCGCACGCTCGTTACGCCCGTTACAGGATCAGCGTGCAATCTCCCCAGCAGAATCGGGTAATCTTGTTCGATTAGATATACGAATGACGATCGAAGCCGGTCCAAATCGTACGGTTGATTCACCAGCTCCTCGGTTATCTCGACGAGAGTATCACGTGCCTCGGAAGACATTCTAGGTTCGGCAGAAATTGGTTCGGAGAGTGTATCTGGTTTGGCAAGAGGTACTTGTTGGGCAGATATTCGGCTGATGACTCTAGGAGGCTCGGAAGGCGGCAAATCGCAGGATTTTGGAGGTTCGGGAGGCGGAAAGATATAAACTATGGTGAACCCGAACAGACCCATCACTGCATCCAACGGAGATAAGCGAATTAGCTTATCCTCGATGGTAGCCGCTGCGAGATCTGTATTAGTATCTCGAACACGATCTACTAACTGGTCCGTCGTCGCCGAGTCCTCGCCTCTAACAACCATGATGGTCCAACGGGAGTGGATCAAAGATAGAGAGCTGCCAGGCACGACGCGTGCGAGGAACGGGCGGAATGGCTTTTGAGGCGCCTCAAAAGTCCAACGAGGGTGGATCACAAGATGAGAGCTGCCATGCGCGAACGCGTGCGAGCGACGGGCGGAATGGCGGCAGGGAAAGAAAATGAGGAAGAGATGCTGGAGCCCGCTAGCAAGCGATGCGCGGAGTACGCTACGCACTTATGGTTGGAATGTATAACTCAAGGTAGTCTCGGTGGGTAGGTCATTGTTGTTTCAATAGTGGGATTCAGTCCGGTGCGTTGTAAAAAGCGGTGGAAGATAACAAACGTTCTTGGCCGTTCCGTAACGTACTAAATCGTGTTTAACGAGCTTTGTACGCATGTATGACCCACCCCTGTCTTTGGTGGCTGGTTGGGGCGACCGAGCAATGGTCGCAGCTGAGCAAATTCACCGCACAATACCGAGGTGGGATATTTTGTCACCGTTGAATACCGAAGTGTTCTCCTAATTCAAAATTGGCCGGTTGGGTCGACCGCCACAGCTAACGATGCTCTGAATAACTCGTTCTTGTGACCGCAGCTTGCTTGGCAGGGGGCCTCCTGGTTCAATTTGAAACTTCAACCCTGTTCCGCTCGTGCAGGTACTGATTAGGAAATATGAGACACTTTCGGAAATTGAGAAGAGAAAGGTCCCGAGGAACGTAAGGGTCTACTAAAAGGCGGCTTAATACCGGAAAGGGAATGTCGTGGCTAGGGCCGGAATGGTGTCCGGAAAGGCAATAATGCCCTGATTTGGGTCGTAAGTGGGTGGGGAAGGTTCTCAAGCATTAAATTTTACAAGCGGATTCCAAGCATCAGGTGGTAGGCGGGTGGGGGGAACAGTGCGTGTGCCGTAGTTTGAGTTTTTCTTGAATTCTGCTGACGTTTGTCTGTAACGAGACGTGCAACTTGAAGCTTCCTGGAAGTGAGGCCTGCGTTTGAGTCAACATCCTTTGTTTGGGGTTGAAGTACAGTGAGCCAGTGTAATCGATTCAGTGTTGCAGCCTGTCGCTTAGCGTCGCAGCCTGTCGTCCAGCGTCGCAGCCTGTCAGCCTGTTGTTCAGCACGGGAATCCGTCGTTCAGTCAGCGTGGTAACCGGATCTTCGTAAGAACGTTTCAGCGCTTCGTTTCGGGCTAGCAACGGGGCTGGCATCGAGCTAGCATCGGGGTAGCATCGGGGTAGTCTCGAGCTAGAATCCGTCGAGCATCGAGCAGCATCGGGCTAGCATGGAGCGATCGTTTTTCTTTAGTTGGGGTCGCGCGGAAGGTTCCAGACGAGGCGAGGGCGGCAGAAGAGGCGGCGGCTCTGGGGGAGAGCAGCGGGGGAGGGGTGATCGGGAAGGGGAGCAACGAGGGGGAACAGGTAGAGGAGGGAGAGAAAGAGGGGGAGAGAGAAGGGAAACCACAAGGGACGGCGGGGGAGGAAGCGGGTTAGGCAGAGGGGGAGGCAGGGGGGCAGCGCAAGCAGCAGGCGCAGGCGCAGGCGCAGCGCCACCGGCGCAATCAGCAGCAGGGGAGTCCGCAACGAGCGCGAGCGCTCATAGCAGCACTGGGAGCGGAGTTTCGAGTGTGCAGAGGCGTGCAGAGCGGTTGAAAGAGCAGGGCAACGAGCAGTACAGCGCGGGGAACATCGCAGCCGCTATCTCGTGCTATACTGAGGTACAGCAGTCCCGCCCGCTCATAGCAGCGTTGGGAGCGGATTTTCGAATTTCGCTGCCGGTACAAGTCATAACGTGCTACGCTGACAGAGGTGTAGCGCCTGTCTGGGCGTGTTTGAGAATTGGGGAGAATGGTTATCAAGCATAACCTGAATTCTCCTTTCCCTTCCCCGTCCCTTCACTTATCTTTCCTCCCCCTTGTCCCCCCCACCAGGCCATTCGCCTGTGTCCATCCGCTGCCACGTTCTGGACCAACCGCGCTCTCTGCCACCGGAATCAAGGGTGTGAGGGGGGGAGGTGGAAAAAGGACTTGAATGCCCCAGGCTCTTCCCTTCCCTTCTCTCCCCCTTCCCCCACCAGGCCATTCGCCTGTGTCCATCCATCGCCACCTTCTGGACCAACCGCGCTCTGTGCCACCGGAAGCGAGGGTGAGTGGGGAAGGTGGGAAATGTGGGGAACGGGCTGAGATCGAGGGGGGAAAGGGTGAGAAGGAGGGCTGGCTGGGTGGGGGAAAGGGTGAGAAGGAGGGCTGGCTGGGTGGGGGAAAGGGTGAGAAGGAGGGCTGGCTGGGTGGGGGAAAGGGTGAGAAGGAGGGCTGGCTGGGTGGGGGAAAGGGTGAGAAGGAGGGCTGACTTGGTGGGGGAAAGGGTGAGAAGGAGGGCTGACTTGGTGGGGGAAAGGGTGAGAAGGAGGGCTGACTTGGTGGGGGAAAGGGTGAGAAGGAGGGTTGGCTTGGTGGGGGAAAGGGTGAGAAGGAGGGCTGACTTGGTGGGGGAAAGGGTGAGAAGGAGGGCTGACTTGGTGGGGGAAAGGGTGAGAAGGAGGGCTGACTTGGTGGGGGAAAGGGTGAGAAGGAGGGCTGACTTGGTGGGGGAAAGGGTGAGAAGGAGGGCTGACTGTTGAGACGTCGAGACGTCCCATAACTCTTTGCCACGTTCTGGACCAGCCGCGCTCTGTGCCACCGGAAGCGAGGGTGAGAAGAATGAGGGCTGCTTGCTTGGGTCCATCCGTGTCCCTTGTTGCGAGGGTGGGGGAACAAGGGACACAGATGGACTTATTGCACTCGGTTTTGGAGCAATCTCATTTGCTACCCCGTTGCTCTCTGCTCGGATCGACTTGCAAACCCCGTTGCTCTCTGCTCGGATCGACTTGCAAACCCCGTTGCTCTCTGCTCGGATCGACTTGCAAAACCTCGTTGCTCTCTGCTCGGACCTATTAACCATGCCCTGTGCCATTGGAGCAAGGGTGCCAAGAAGGAAACGGGGATGAGAGTGGGAGGTGGGGGCGGGGTGGGGAAGAGTGTAAGCGACGGTGAGAGTGGGAGGTGGGGGCCGGGTGGGAGCAGGATAGTGTGAGAGCAACCAAATAGTTTAATTCCTCTTGAGTCGACTCAAAAGTGACTTTTGAGTCGACGCAAAAGTGGGATGTGGGGGCCGGGTGGGAGCAGGATAGTGTGAAAGCAACCAAATAGTTCAATTCCTCAGCTCAGCAGGATTGCACCATTCCCTCCCCTCCCTCTCCCCCCCGTCCTCACCAACCCCACCAACCTCCCCCCCATTGCTCTCTTTGCGACTGACATCAGGTCGAGCATGGCTGTGTGGGAGCGTGAATGATGTGACTTTAGAGTCGACTAGGTGACTTTAGAGTCGACTAGGTGACTTTTGAGTCGACTGGTGACTTTTGAGTCGACTCAAAAGGCAACCCCACCAACCTCCCCCCCATTGCTCTCTTCGCGACTGCCATCAGGTCGAGCATGGCTGTGTGGGAGCGTGAATGATGTGACTTTTGAGTCGACTAGGTGACTTTTGAGTCGACTAGGTGACTTTTGAGTCGACTAGGTGACTTTTGAGTCGACTAGGTGACTTTTGAGTCGACTAGGTGACTTTTGAGTCGGCTAGGTGACTTTTGAGTCGGCTAGGTGACTTTTGAGTCGGCTATGTGACTTTTGAGTCGACTAGGTGACTTTTTGAGTCGACTAGGTGGCTTTTGAGTCGACTAGGTGGCTTTTGAGTCGACTAGGTGACTTTTGAGTCGACTAGGTGACTTTTGAGTCGACTAGGTGACTTTTGAGTCGACTAGGTGACTTTTGAGTCGGCTAGGTGACTTTTGAGTCGACTAGGTGACTTTTGAGTCTGCTAGGTGACTTTTGAGTCTACTCAAAAGTAACCCCACCAACCTCCCCCCCATTGCTCTCTTTGCGACTGCCGTCAGGTCGAGCATGGCTGTGTGGGAGCGTGAATGATTCTCCTCCTCCACCTCCTCTTCCCCTCCCTTCCCCCTCCTCCCCCTCCCAACACCCCCGTCCCAACCAGCCCTTGCCCCCTCCTCCAGCGGTGGAGCATGACTATGTGAGAGCAGTGATTGATTCTCTTCCTTACTGCCCTGCCCGCACTTCCCCCCTCCCTGCTACTCTTCCCCCTCCCTGCCAACCCTGCTTTCCCGTTCCCCAGCGACTGGCTGCAGGTGGAGCATGATTGTGTGAGGGCGATAAACGGACTGGCTAGCTGAAAACCAGCATTCCTATTCCCCTCCCCCCCTCTTCCCTCTCCTCTCACACCAACCCCTGCCCTCCTCTCCCCCAGCGACTGGCTACTGGTGGAGCATGACTGTGTGCGGGCGATCGAACACGACAAGAAGTCTGTCAAGGTGAGTGTTCTGGGCTGAGGGCTTACTTACTTCCACCACAGGTGGGCAGGCGGAGCATGCGATCGAACACGACAACAAGTCTGTCAAGGTGAGTGCGCAGGGTATGACTGTGGGGTAGACTGCAGGGTAGATGTGGGCTACTGGTGGAGCATGACTGTGTGAGAGCAATCGAGCACGACAACAAGTCTGTCAAGGTGGGTGTATGCGAGGGGAGACGGGTGGGCTGCTGCGGATGCCTTACTTTCACAGGTGGACAGGTGGAAGGGAGCATGACTGTGTGAGAGCAATCGAGCACGACAACAAGTCTGTCAAGGTGGGTGTATGCGAGGGGAGACAGGTGGGCTGCTGCGGATGCCTTACTTTCACAGGTGGACAGGTGGAAGGGAGCATGACTGTGTGAGAGCAATCGAGCACGACAACAAGTCTGTCAAGGTGGGTGTATGCGAGGGGAGACAGGTGGGCTGCTGCGGATGCCTTACTTTCACAGGTGGACAGGTGGAAGGGAGCATGACTGTGTGAGAGCAATCGAGCATGACAACAAGTCTGTCAAGGTGGGTGTATGCGAGGGGAGACAGGTGGGCTGCTGCGGATGCCTTACTTTCACAGGTGGACAGGTGGAAGGGAGCATGCCTGTGTGAGAGCAATCGAGCACGACAACAAGTCTGTCAAGGTGGGCGTTGCGCCAGTTGGCATGGCAGGTCGAGCATGCATGACTGTTTCTCTACTTGTGGAACCATGCTGTGCATGCGGACACGTATGGATGGCATTGGTAACTTTTGAGTCGACTCAGAAGTCGCATGCTGTGCATGCGGACACGTATGGATGGTATTGGTAGGTATGTGAACGCTTTTGTGCCTCTCTTCCGCGCACGCTTTTGTGCCTCTCTTCCGCGCACGCTTTTGTGCCTCTCTTCCCCGCACGCTTCTTTCTGATAAGACTCTCACAGAGCTTGTCTTCGATTAAAAAAAAAGGTATTCTTAGTGAATGGATTCAAAAGCCAGTCGCGCTGCTTTTCAAAGTCTGGCTTATTTATCAATCGCTTCTTTCTTGCCCGTCTCCCTCCCTCCCCCCCTCTCTCTTCCTCTCCCACTCTCCTTCCGCCATTTCTTCCCTGCAAACCATGCCGCACCGCACCACACCACACCACATTTCACGACACCACACCACACGAAACCGCATTACACAGGCACACTTCTACCTGGGAACGGCCCTCACAGAGCTCGCTCGCTACCCCGAGGCTGCTCATGTGCTCGAAAGGGTGAGAGCTGGTTTGAGAGTGCTATGAGTGGTATGGGTGAGTGAGGGATGACCAATGGTACCACACCGCACCAGGCGCACCACTACCTGAGAATACCCCTGAGAGAGTTAGCTTGGGAATTCCCTTCTCCCTCCCTCCCTCCCTGCCTGCCTGCCTGCCTGCCTGCCTGCCTGCCTGCCTGCCTGCCTGCCTGCAAGATGCTTACAAGGCGGTGAAGATGATTCGAGAGGATGCAGTGCTGGGCAGCAGCAGACGGAGCCAGCTTGCCTGCCCTCGCACCCTCATTCCCTCCCTCCCTTCCTTCCCCCCCTCTCCTCCTTTCTCCTCCCCACCAGGCCGTGGAGATCATTCGGGATGACGAGGTGCAGCAGCAGAGGGAGCCACTGCCACAAGAGATCCTCCTCCTTCCTCCCTGCCCTTTCTCCCCTCTCCTCTCCCTCTCCTTCTCCCGTCTTACCAGGCAGTGGAGGTCATTCGAGATGATGAGGTGCTGGGCAGCAGCAGAGGGGACCAACTTGCCTGCCCTCGCCCCATCGCTCTCTCATACTCTCCCTCAGACAGATACACCCGCTCCTTCTGCCCTGTGCTGACCTGACCCCCACCAGGCGGTGGAGATCATTCGGGACGACGAGGTGCTGGGCAGCAGCGGAGGGAGCCACTGCCGCTAAGGACCCTCCTCCTTCCTCCATGTCTCCCTCCCCTCTCCTCTCCCTCTCCTTTTCCCGTCTTACCAGGCCGTGGAGGTCATTCGGGACGACAAGGTGCTGGGCAGCAGCAGAGGGAGCCACTGTCACTGATTACCCCCCTGCTTCCCTGCGTGCTTCCCTGCCTGCTTCCCTGCCTGCTTCCCTGCCTGCTTCCCTGCCTGCTTCCCTGCCTGCTTCCCTGCCTGCTTCCCTGCCTGCTTCCCTGCCTGCTTCCCTGCCTGCTTCCCTGCCTGCCCATCTCCCTCCCCGCCTACCTACCTGCCTGCCTGCTTGCCTCCCCTCCAGGCCATGGAGATCATTCGAGATGACGAGGTGCTGGGCAGCAGCAGAGGGGTACACTGGCAAAGGGGTCTTGTCTTTGCATGAACAGATACACCCGCTCCTTCTGCCCTGCGTTGCTTGTCACCAGGCGGTCGAGATCATACGAGATGACGAGGTGCTGGGCAGCAGAAGAGGGAACTTGAATGACGTCTGGAACGCCATGGCCACTGCCAGGTGAGTGGGTGGTGCTGCTGCCAGGTGAGTGGGTGGTGCTGCTGCCAGGTGAGTGGGTGGTGCTGCTGCCAGGTGAGTGGGTGGTGCTGCTGCCAGGTGAGTGGGTGGTGCTGCTGCCAGGTGAGTGGGTGGTGCTGCTGCCAGGTGAGTGGGTGGTGCTGCTGCCAGGTGAGTGGGTGGTGCTGCTGCCAGGTGAGTGGGTGGTGCTGCTGCCAGGTGAGTGGGTGGTGCTGCTGCCAGGTGAGTGGGTGGTGCTGCTGCCAGGTGAGTGGGTGGTGCTGCTGCCAGGTGAGTGGGTGGTGCTGCTGCCAGGTGAGTGGGTGGTGCTGCTGCCAGGTGAGTGGGTGGTGTGCTATTGTTGGGTAGGCAGGCAGGCAGGGAGGCATGCCGTGCAGTGCTGGGCTGGGCAGCAGAGGGAACTTGAATGACGTGTGGAATGCAATGGCCACTGCCAGGTGGGTCCGGCTGCTGCTGTGCTGTTGCTGGGTAGCACGGAGGGAGGCATGCACTGCTGGGCTGGGCTGCAGCAGAGGAAAAACGACGTGTGGAACGCAATGGCCACTGCCAGGTGGGTGGTTGTGCGACTCTGTTGTTGGGTGGGGTGGGCGGGCAGGGCTTCGAGCGGCCATTGCATTCGTCACTCCTGAGCACGCAGCTGGTGCTCAGGAGTGATTCGTCACTGCTCCGTGCAGTGCTGGGCAGCAGCACAGGCAACCTGAACGACGTGTGGAACGCAATGGCCACTGCCAGGTGGGTGGTTGTGCGACTCTGTTGTTGGGTGGGGTGGGCGGGCAGGGCTTCGAGCGGCCATTGCATTCGTCACTCCTGAGCACGCAGCTGGTGCTCAGGAGTGATTCGTCACTGCTCCGTGCAGTGCTGGGCAGCAGCACAGGCAACCTGAACGACGTGTGAAACGCAATGGCCACTGCCAGGTGGGTGGTTGTGCGACTCTGTTGTTGGGTGGGGTGGGCGGGCAGGGCTTCGAGCGGCCATTGCATTCGTCACTCCTGAGCACGCAGCTGGTGCTCAGGAGTGATTCGTCACTGCTCCGTGCAGTGCTGGGCAGCAGCACAGGCAACCTGAACGACGTGTGGAACGCAATGGCCACTGCCAGGTGGGTGGTTGTGCGACTCTGTTGTTGGGTGGGGTGGGCGGGCAGGGCTTCGAGCGGCCATTGCATTCGTCACTCCTGAGCACGCAGCTGGTGCTCAGGAGTGATTCGTCACTGCTCCGTGCAGTGCTGGGCAGCAGCACAGGCAACCTGAACGACGTGTGGAACGCAATGGCCACTGCCAGGTGGGTGGTTGTGCGACTCTGTTGTTGGGTGGGGTGGGCGGGCAGGGCTTCGAGCGGCCATTGCATTCGTCACTCCTGAGCACGCAGCTGGTGCTCAGGAGTGATTCGTCACTGCTCCGTGCAGTGCTGGGCAGCAGCACAGGCAACCTGAACGACATGTGGAACGCAATGGCCACTGCCAGGTGGGTGGTTGTGCGACTCTGTTGTTGGGTGGGGTGGGCGGGCAGGGCTTCGAGCGGCCATTGCATTCGTCACTCCTGAGCACGCAGCTGGTGCTCAGGAGTGATTCGTCACTGCTCCGTGCAGTGCTGGGCAGCAGCACAGGCAACCTGAACGACGTGTGGAACGCAATGGCCACTGCCAGGTGGGTGGTTGTGCGACTCTGTTGTTGGGTGGGGTGGGCGGGCAGGGCTTCGAGCGGCCATTGCATTCGTCACTCCTGAGCACGCAGCTGGTGCTCAGGAGTGATTCGTCACTGCTCCGTGCAGTGCTGGGCAGCAGCACAGGCAACCTGAACGACGTGTGGAACGCAATGGCCACTGCCAGGTGGGTGGTTGTGCGACTCTGTTGTTGGGTGGGGTGGGCGGGCAGGGCTTCGAGCGGCCATTGCATTCGTCACTCCTGAGCACGCAGCTGGTGCTCAGGAGTGATTCGTCACTGCTCCGTGCAGTGCTGGGCAGCAGCACAGGCAACCTGAACGACGTGTGGAACGCAATGGCCACTGCCAGGTGGGTGGTTGTGCGACTCTGTTGTTGGGTGGGGTGGGCGGGCAGGGCTTCGAGCGGCCATTGCATTCGTCACTCCTGAGCACGCAGCTGGTGCTCAGGAGTGATTCGTCACTGCTCCGTGCAGTGCTGGGCAGCAGCACAGGCAACCTGAACGACGTGTGGAACGCAATGGCCACTGCCAGGTGGGTGGTTGTGCGACTCTGTTGTTGGGTGGGGTGGGCGGGCAGGGCTTCGAGCGGCCATTGCATTCGTCACTCCTGAGCACGCAGCTGGTGCTCAGGAGTGATTCGTCACTGCTCCGTGCAGTGCTGGGCAGCAGCACAGGCAACCTGAACGACATGTGGAACGCAATGGCCACTGCCAGGTGGGTGGTTGTGCGACTCTGTTGTTGGGTGGGGTGGGCGGGCAGGGCTTCGAGCGGCCATTGCATTCGTCACTCCTGAGCACGCAGCTGGTGCTCAGGAGTGATTCGTCACTGCTCCGTGCAGTGCTGGGCAGCAGCACAGGCAACCTGAACGACGTGTGGAACGCAATGGCCACTGCCAGGTGGGTGGTTGTGCGACTCTGTTGTTGGGTGGGGTGGGCGGGCAGGGCTTCGAGCGGCCATTGCATTCGTCACTCCTGAGCACGCAGCTGGTGCTCAGGAGTGATTCGTCACTGCTCCGTGCAGTGCTGGGCAGCAGCACAGGCAACCTGAACGACGTGTGGAACGCAATGGCCACTGCCAGGTGGGTGGTTGTGCGACTCTGTTGTTGGGTGGGGTGGGCGGGCAGGGCTTCGAGCGGCCATTGCATTCGTCACTCCTGAGCACGCAGCTGGTGCTCAGGAGTGATTCGTCACTGCTCCGTGCAGTGCTGGGCAGCAGCACAGGCAACCTGAACGACGTGTGGAACGCAATGGCCACTGCCAGGTGGGTGGTTGTGCGACTCTGTTGTTGGGTGGGGTGGGCGGGCAGGGCTTCGAGCGGCCATTGCATTCGTCACTCCTGAGCACGCAGCTGGTGCTCAGGAGTGATTCGTCACTGCTCCGTGCAGTGCTGGGCAGCAGCACAGGCAACCTGAACGACGTGTGGAACGCAATGGCCACTGCCAGGTGGGTGGTTGTGCGACTCTGTTGTTGGGTGGGGTGGGCGGGCAGGGCTTCGAGCGGCCATTGCATTCGTCACTCCTGAGCACGCAGCTGGTGCTCAGGAGTGATTCGTCACTGCTCCGTGCAGTGCTGGGCAGCAGCACAGGCAACCTGAACGACATGTGGAACGCAATGGCCACTGCCAGGTGGGTGGTTGTGCGACTCTGTTGTTGGGTGGGGTGGGCGGGCAGGGCTTCGAGCGGCCATTGCATTCGTCACTCCTGAGCACGCAGCTGGTGCTCAGGAGTGATTCGTCACTGCTCCGTGCAGTGCTGGGCAGCAGCACAGGCAACCTGAACGACGTGTGGAACGCAATGGCCACTGCCAGGTGGGTGGTTGTGCGACTCTGTTGTTGGGTGGGGTGGGCGGGCAGGGCTTCGAGCGGCCATTGCATTCGTCACTCCTGAGCACGCAGCTGGTGCTCAGGAGTGATTCGTCACTGCTCCGTGCAGTGCTGGGCAGCAGCACAGGCAACCTGAACGACGTGTGGAACGCAATGGCCACTGCCAGGTGGGTGGTTGTGCGACTCTGTTGTTGGGTGGGGTGGGCGGGCAGGGCTTCGAGCGGCCATTGCATTCGTCACTCCTGAGCACGCAGCTGGTGCTCAGGAGTGATTCGTCACTGCTCCGTGCAGTGCTGGGCAGCAGCACAGGCAACCTGAACGACGTGTGGAACGCAATGGCCACTGCCAGGTGGGTGGTTGTGCGACTCTGTTGTTGGGTGGGGTGGGCGGGCAGGGCTTCGAGCGGCCATTGCATTCGTCACTCCTGAGCACGCAGCTGGTGCTCAGGAGTGATTCGTCACTGCTCCGTGCAGTGCTGGGCAGCAGCACAGGCAACCTGAACGACGTGTGGAACGCAATGGCCACTGCCAGGTGGGTGGTTGTGCGACTCTGTTGTTGGGTGGGGTGGGCGGGCAGGGCTTCGAGCGGCCATTGCATTCGTCACTCCTGAGCACGCAGCTGGTGCTCAGGAGTGATTCGTCACTGCTCCGTGCAGTGCTGGGCAGCAGCACAGGCAACCTGAACGACGTGTGGAACGCAATGGCCACTGCCAGGTGGGTGGTTGTGCGACTCTGTTGTTGGGTGGGGTGGGCGGGCAGGGCTTCGAGCGGCCATTGCATTCGTCACTCCTGAGCACGCAGCTGGTGCTCAGGAGTGATTCGTCACTGCTCCGTGCAGTGCTGGGCAGCAGCACAGGCAACCTGAACGACGTGTGGAACGCAATGGCCACTGCCAGGTGGGTGGTTGTGCGACTCTGTTGTTGGGTGGGGTGGGCGGGCAGGGCTTCGAGCGGCCATTGCATTCGTCACTCCTGAGCACGCAGCTGGTGCTCAGGAGTGATTCGTCACTGCTCCGTGCAGTGCTGGGCAGCAGCACAGGCAACCTGAACGACGTGTGGAACGCAATGGCCACTGCCAGGTGGGTGGTTGTGCGACTCTGTTGTTGGGTGGGGTGGGCGGGCAGGGCTTCGAGCGGCCATTGCATTCGTCACTCCTGAGCACGCAGCTGGTGCTCAGGAGTGATTCGTCACTGCTCCGTGCAGTGCTGGGCAGCAGCACAGGCAACCTGAACGACGTGTGGAACGCAATGGCCACTGCCAGGTGGGTGGTTGTGCGACTCTGTTGTTGGGTGGGGTGGGCGGGCAGGGCTTCGAGCGGCCATTGCATTCGTCACTCCTGAGCACGCAGCTGGTGCTCAGGAGTGATTCGTCACTGCTCCGTGCAGTGCTGGGCAGCAGCACAGGCAACCTGAACGACGTGTGGAACGCAATGGCCACTGCCAGGTGGGTGGTTGTGCGACTCTGTTGTTGGGTGGGGTGGGCGGGCAGGGCTTCGAGCGGCCATTGC